CAGTAAATGGATAAACAAATTACAGTACATCCATACAATGGAATATTCCTTAGCAATATAAAGGAATTAACTCTTAATACATGCAAGAAGATGGATGAATCTCAAAAACATGATGCAAAGAGAAATAAGACAAGATCAAAAGGCTACATATGGCATAATTACAATACATTTATGACATTCTAGAAAAGAGAAGACTGTACGGACAGAAATCAGATGAGTAGCTGTCAGGAGCTGGGGGTGGGAGAAGGCGCTTGACTACAAAGCAGCACAAGGGATCTTTTTGGAGTGATTAAAATATTCTATATTTTGATGAGGATGGTTGATATATGACTGCATGCATTTGTCAAAATTCATCAAATTGCATCCCTTTTTAAAAAGAGCAAATTTTACTGTGAATAAATTATTGTACCTCAATAAATAGGAATTTAAAAAAATATGGGATATTGATAATGAGGAAAGCTACGCATGTGTGGTGGCAGAAGGTATATGGGGAATCTCTGTACCTTCCCCTCAATTTTTAAAAAAATATTTATTGGGGCTTCCCTGGTGGCGCAGCGGTTGAGAGTCTGCCTGCCGACGCAGGGGACACGGGTTCGTGCCCCGGTCCGGGAAGATCCCACATGCCACGGAGCGGCTAGGCCCGTGAGCCATGGCCGCTGAGCCTGCGCGTCCAGAGCCTGTGCTCCACAACGGGAGAGGCCCAACAGTGACCACAAAAAAAAAAATTTATTTATTTACTTATTTTTTAGCTGCGCCACATCTTAGTTGCAGCCCACAGGACCTTTGTTGCTGCATGCAGGATCTTCATTGTGGCACAGGAGATCTAAGAGCATGCAGGCTCTTAGTCCCCGAGCAGGGATTGAACCCAGGCCCCCTGCACTGGGAGCGTAGAGTCTTAACCACTGGGCCACCAGGGAAGCCCCCTTCTCAATTTTGCTATGAATCTAAAACTGCTCTAAAAATATAAAGTACTAACTTAAAAAAAAAAAGAAGTAAATGTATTAGAAATGCATCTCAATGAGATGAATGAGATATTATAGCTTTAATTAAAGAATATTTTGATGCGAAAGAAAAAAAAGAAAGATGAAGGGAAGGAAGGAAGGGAGGGAGGGAGGGAGGAAGGAAGGAAAAATAGGGAGAGGGAAGGGAAAAGAAAGAAAAGAGAAAAGAAAAGGAAGAGAAAGAAAAGAATCTTTTTTTAATCTGTCACCAAAACGTGAAAACCTGTCCCTGAAGGCAGTTTGGTACAAGACTTTGGAGTGGAACAGACCTTGTTCAAACCCCAGCTCTGCACTTACTAGCTGTATTACTGGGCAAGTTACTTAACCTCTCTGATTAAACTCTGTAAAGCAGGGATATGACTAGCACTGACCTATTATTATCATGATTTAATGAGATAAGGCACAGTCCATAATCCTCAAAGTGACAGCTCCCCTCAGCACACCCCACTCCGCAAACCCACAGTGGATATCTTGTTAATTCAAGTGCCCACACAACGGTGACAGGAGTAGAGTTTGAGAAGCAGCGTGGACAATATAACCTTAAATCATTTAAGGATTAAAGCTGGGGGAACAATGAGGCAAAGAGCAGCAACGCCTTTTTTTAAATTCCTTCAACAGATTCAAAGGAAATCATGGTTCCAGTCGCCTGCAGAAGGCCATGTGCTCAGAAACCTAAACATTTTCATTTGGAAAATAAATGGTTCCTAAGGAGTAGAGGCGACAGGGGGACAACTTTGGCCTCCTGAAACAGGGGGTGGACTCTTCTCAATTATAGAATCAATATCTGGGAAGGGACACAAGGTATGTTGCAGAGGTGGGGAGCGGGGGGGTGGGGTGGGGGAGGGTTGTCTCAAGAACGCTTAGTCCAGGCTCAGATACAAACTTGGCTTTGATTTTCAAAACTGTCTTTTCATGGGTGTATGCTGTAAAAGCCAGACATGGAGCCTAGAAAAGGAGAGGCCACTGGGTAGGGTCACCACACAAAGAAAATGAGCCAGCTCTGCACCATTTCCTTAGCTCCAGAATACACTCCCCAGGAAAAGACGTCATTAACCTGATATTAGATAGGATGAGAAACTCAGTTTTCAAAGAGAAAAGTCACAGACAAGCAATAAGGCCAGCTGAAAACCCGGGATATAAAAAAACCGCCTGCACACAAAACAACAGTGCACCTTAGAATCAATATTCTCCAGACACAAAGCTGGTAGAAATTTAGATCATAATGAAGGTGATATTCAAGTCCATGGGAGAGAGAGATTATTTAATAAGATAACTTTGAGGCAATAGCCTCATGATCTGCAATACAAATAAACCTGAATTCCTACCCTCACTCTTTACACCAAAACAAATTCTAAGTGCATCAAAGATTCAAACATAAAACAGAAATCATAAAAGTACTTGAAGAAAACACAGAGTATTTTTTTTAAAATCTCTTTAAGCAAAACCTAAGCTATAAAGCAGAAGATAGATCAATTTGACTACTTATTACTTTTTGGGATTCAAAATGTTACAAACAAGTTTAGAGACAAACTACAAACTAAGAAAAAAATATGTAAAACACATACAAGGGCCTAAACTCTTTAAAACGACATGTAAAAACCATTAATAAAAAAAATACAGTCTAACAGAAAAATGGGCAAAGGACATGAACAGGGAATTTCCACACCCCCCAAATATACAAATGCCAATAATCCTTTGAAACCAAGATTAATCTTACTCACAGTTAAAGAAATGCAAACCAAAACAAGATGCCATCTTTTAAAGGATATTTGACACATATATGTTTAGATATTTTAAAAAATGGAAATTATTGCAAGGCCCATCAATAGATGACAGTTACATAAATAATAGCACATAAATATAATTAAATGCCATGCACCTATTACAATTTAAATGCTGTTTTTACCCATAGTGATAACATTGAATGCAGTCTGTAGCATCTGGTTGAGTAGGAGAAAAAGATTTCAATCTGTGTAGCAAGAGTCCATTTATCTAAAAGCGTACAGTTTGACCTATTTGTGAATAAGTGCACAGAGATACGTCTGGAAGAAAATTCATCAAAATGATAGCAGTGACTGTCCCTGGGTGGAGGGATTTCAGGTGATTTTTACTTTATTTTGAAATCCTTTTAATAATCTACAATGAGCACACATTTCTATAATCAAAGAAAGCTATTAAGTTATTTTCATTTTGAAAAATATGAAGAAGTTTTGATGCAATGTTCCAACAAAACAAAACGCATCAACATGCAATAAGGCAAAATGGTCCCAAGGCTGAGACCCATGCCCTGTGGCTGCCCCTCCTAGCTGGCACTGTGCAACAGGAGGCAGACAGACAGGTAGGTAAAAATCAGGTTTACAAAGGTGGAGCAGGTACAGGATGGTAAGGGTTCAAGAACAGGTTTGGAGCGGGAGAAAGACTCAATTCAAAACCTGATTCCAGGGGGCTTCCCTGTTAGCACAGCTGGTAAGAATCCGCCTGCCCATGTAGGGGACAGGGGTTCGAGCCCTGGTCTGGGAAGATCCCACATGCCGCGGAGCAACTAAGCCCATGCGCCACAACTACTGAGCCCGCGTGCCACAACTACTGAAGCACGTGCACCTAGAGCCCGTGCTCTGCAACCAGAGAAGCCACCGCAATGAGAAGCTCACGCACCACAACAGAGAGCAGCCCCCGCTCACCGCAACTAGAGAAAGCCCACGCGCAGCAATGAAGACCCAACGCAGCCAAAAATAAATAAATAAAATAAATAAATTTATTAAAACAAAACAAAACAAAAACCTGGTTCCACCACATTAGCTGTGTTGACTTTGGGCAAGTCAGTTAATCTCTCTGACCCTCAGTTTCCTCCTTCCTGAACTAGGATAACTGCTTCTACTTTCTATGCGCTATCTTCAGCTCACTGCTTGGCACACAGTAAGTACTCAATAAATGTCAGCTGCTTATATTATTATCTGGGACATTTGTAACCTTTGTTCACATTGCAACCACTATGTTCTCCATGATCTGGGGTCACAGAGCAGAGTGGAGAGAAGCAAACCTCGGAAAATCCAAATATCTGGTCTTGGACAACATTCTTCCCTAGCCCCGTGAAACCCTTCCTGGAAGCAGCAGGCGAGGAGTAAGGCAGCCAACCACAAAGAGGAAGAGAAGGACAAGGCAAGGACCTAGGTAATCCCTGGGTGCTGCCTACTTGTAGTGGATGAGCCAACACGACTCATTCCTCTCCTCTACCCTTCCTCCTGGGTTGGCTGGGACCTCCCCCTAGACTTCATGTTAGGATCCTGGAAAGACGACTCAAATGCCAAGGTCGAAAGCCCTTTAGAGACCATCTAGTGCAGCATCCTTCATTCTACATGTGAGGAACCTGAGGACCACGGAGGGGAGGGGACTTGCAGGGAACCAGAGAGCCAGTACCCAGCACAGACCTTCCATCATGGTGTCCCCTCCTACGCTCATCCTTCCCTCCCCCTGCCTGCCCCATCACACGCTCTCATTTCCCCCATATCTTTCCCCCACTTCCTTACCTGTAGGACTCCTTAAGGGCCCCTTTCTCCTCTGGCAGCCCTAATTGTCCTTTATGGCTCTGTGGTGAGGGGAGAAACCAGACTAGGACTGTTCTGACTCAAAGAATGGCCTGGAAAGAGGACTGCTGGGGCCATCACTACGTCAAGACCCACCCAGCTACTCCTCTGCTTCCAAAAGAAACAGAGCCCAAACCATGGTGTAAAACAGGAAGGGAAGAAGAAAGAGACCTGAGTTATTCACAATCCTTCCTGGTGACGGTGAAGGTTACCTTGAAACCCTTAGGAAAGGAAGACCCCGGAAGAGAGAGGTACCAGCAGATTCACGAGGAACCAGCAGACTCCATCTCCTAGGTGGTAAATACAACCGAGATGCAGGGCAGCCATGGGTGAGGAGAGACTTGGAGACAGGAGTACAAGGCCATTTTCCCAGATCACAGTTCCAACTCTTGGCAGTGACTGGGCTGGGGCTTACCTTGGGCAGGCTAACTGGAGTCCTGGGCTTCGTCCTTGGGTTTTTAATCAAGAGCCTCTGATCCAGAGGGAGAAGATGATATTTCATGGCCTCGATGAGGAAGTCCTTACAGGTGTTGTTATTCTTTATCAAAGCTTCTTCTTCAACTGTCTAGAGGTAATAACCCATAGGTGATCCTGGTGCAGAACTCGGCCCCATTTCCCAAGCCATCTCCCTGGGCTGAGTCATTCCTGTACTCTCACACTCATTCGTTCCCATACCGCACCATCTCAGACCCTAAGACAAAGGTCCACAGAGTAACAGCGTAGTGCCCACCTCCTGCATCTCAAGAGAACAATGGAGTAAGTGATTAAGCTCTGGCATCAAGCAGACAGGGATACAAATCCCAGCTCTACCATTTAACACCTCTGATCCTCAGTTTCCTCATCTGTAAGATGTAAGATGGGCATATTAAATTCCCCCGCAACCTCACAGGTTGTGTTCGTTTGTTTGTTTATAGGCTTAACGAGATTACGCAAAACAAAGACAAATGATTGTCCCTAAAGCTTCTTTCCACATGCCTTCTGGTTGGAACGTATTATCATGTTTAAGGCAAATGGCCAGATATTTGAGAGAAGGAGAGGGAGGGAAAGAGGAAAATGGTGGGATGCATCGGCCAACCTTTGGAGGCACTGGGTATAATGAGGTGATATTCAAGAAGAAGAATTCATATTCATTATCTTACAGTGCAAGCCTCAGGGAGAAGTGTCCAGTGAGGCACTCTCCAACAGAGCAGTGGTATCAGAGCAGAAGGAATGTCCTGCACAAAAGTCCCACCAACTGACCTCCACTTGGACCCCATCTAAGCTGGGGCTGTGGCTTCTTCATGCCTTATTCTAGAGCCAAGGACTTAAGCAGGTGCTCAGCAAGTGTGGGCCTAAATATTTCACAAGCAAAGCTAAGGGTGAACCATGCTGGTACCCTGACTCTCAAATCTCCACCCTTGGGCACAGGTCAGATTGCTACATGGCATATCTGTAAGGGGTAGTGTGGTCTCCGGAGGCTACTTCATGTCTTCTTTGCCGGAGTGTTTGGGAGCTGTTGGCAAGGTCAATTCCATTCAGCAGCTAACAGGGATTGAATGTCTCCTGGTTGGGCAGCTCAGTGCTGGACCCCGGGGAGAAAATGATGCACAAGACAAGGGTTCTGACCTAGAGGCCCTCAGGTCCAGTCAGAGAATGAGAAGGGCCTCCCCACCTCAATTATCTCAGCCCTCAAGCTGTCATGCACAGGCCCAGCTGAGCCACTCCTGGGTCCCCCACCTGTAATTAGGAATGGATGGGAAGGTGGCCACAGGGCCATCACCTGCTGGGCAGTGTTGGAGATGGCAGGAAAAGAAGGATCAGTGAGGGCGCCTCTGTTACCTCTGGACACCTCCTTCCCCACAGACTATCCCCAGGGACACTCCGTTTTCTTGGAAGATTTTTTTCCCTCCTACTGAGGGATTGAGGCAGGTAGGGACAAATCATAAACATTTGGGGTCAGTTAAAAATGAAAAAGGGTGGGAAAGGATCTCTTTAAAAGCTTTTTGGGAAGAAGGAAAATGCATGAATATCTACTTCTCCCAAAGAACTCATTCGGCTTGAATGAAAAGCTCCCTGAGAGAGTTAGTATTTCATGGGTATAGAGTTTCAATTTGAGATGATGAAAAAGTTTTAGAAATGGGTATGGTGATGGTTGTACAGCACAGTGAATGCAATTAATGCCACTAAACTGTACACTTAAAATGGTTACAATGATGAAGTTTATATTGTACATATTTTATCACAAGGACAAATTTTTAAATAAGATATGGCATGTTATACACTTGGCACAATATTTGTAAATATTTAATAAAAGCCTAATAAAGGTTAGCTATTAAAAGAAAACAGCAACAACAACAACAAAACAACTCCCGCAGAAGTCAGTGTTGGTACAGGTTTGCCCAGAGCTTTCCTTTCTCTCAGCCTCCTCCTCTACCATCAGCCATCCCCAGTGGTTAGACTAGTTTGACGTTTCAAGGTCAAATGAGTGGGTTTTTTTGGGGGGGTTGTTTTTTTTTTTAACATCTTTATTGGAGAAAATGAGTGTAAATGAAACATCTCCTCCCAGAGGTGTTCTGAAAAAAAAAAAAAGTCCCACACAACAGTTCTCATGCACATTGTCTCTGACCTACTTCCTCTCCAGATCTAAACCTGACCTTGCCTTAATAACCCAGGAACTATTTCCTAAAGTCTTCATTAAATTTCCATTGTGGGCACCTGATGGAGGTTGTGTGTAGGGGTATCTAAAGCCCCTTTAGCTTTCTCCGGAACCCAAGTCCACAAGCCGCCCTTCCTCCTTGTGAAAGTGAGACTGTGCTGGAGGCCAGGTGTCCGCCTTCACCAGTGGTCAGGCCCCACTCAGGATAGTGGGAGGTTTGGCTCTGACACGGGGAGCTCAGGTGGGTTCGGTGTCTCTGCTGAGGGGGCCTCTCCTTCACGAAGGATGTGCGGCCACCAGGTGGCAGTGGTGCCATCCAAAGTGTAAAACGCAGGGCACGTATGAAGGCTTGAGAATATACGCCCCGGCCCCTGAGAAGAGGGCTAAGGTTCAGAGATTCAGAGACCATTCCACTGACTCCTGAGGCCTGTGATCAACAGCACCACAAGCTGAGGACTTTATAAGTGCTGGTAAGGATACTCTCTCCCGCTACTACCAACAGTAGCAGTGGTCATGAAGACCATAGAGATATCACTGAACACAGGGTTGTAGGCTTTACATGGTTCATCTCATTCTATCCCCAAACGACCCTATAAGGGCAGGGGCTATTTTCACCAGATGAGAAGACAGAGGCTTAGCAAGGCTGAGGATTCGCCCAGTGTCTTACGGTCAAGCAGTGACAGAGCTCAGCTGCTGGACTGCTGACCCTACTCTAATCCTGGCTTCACATCTGCCATTCCTCCCAGAGACTTCTTGAGGACGGCTGAGGGCTGGCCTACTGCCTTGGCACTTGTTATTTGTCTATTTAAGTTTTATCCTCTGCCTGCCTGGAAAACATCTAATGCCATTGACACTACAAAGTTAAGTCATGTAAAATATACAAACAGAAGAGAAAGTATTAAAGGTGGCGCCTGCTTAGGGAAGGTGGGTGGTCTAGATCCAGACAGACTTGGATTTGAATCCTAACCCTGCCACTTACTAGCTGGTGACTCCAGATAAATCCCAACCTCCATAAGCCTCAAAGCCCACATTTGTAAAAAGGGGATCTTAACCTCTGCTCACAGGGTTGTTACAAGGATTAAATGAGAAAATATGTGGCGCCATGTTTTAGAGGAAGCAGATGCAGTATGTATTCCAGGCACTTGTGAAGAGCTGGTTTTTACAGTCCTGAATTGGGCCCCAAGTTGCCTAACACGAAGGCAAGAAGGGAACATAGAAACATGATGGAAATGACCCTTCTTGCTTCAGTCCTGTACCACAAAAGCAGCTAATAACTTCTGTCGAACATGTGTTATCCCCAGCTCCATGCTAACACCTGAACCGCATCCTTATAACTCCTTTGGTCCTCACAACAACCCTGCTGGGCTCTAGTATAATTTCCCTTCTAGAGAAAAAGAAACTGAGGCTTAAAGCTAAGAAGTAGAAGAGGAGGAACTAAACCTTAGTGTCTCATTCTCAAACCTATGCTCTTAAACCTTACACTACCATGCCTCACACTGAACCCAGTGGGTTGGTGCCCTCACTCCACAGAGAGGACCCGTGAAACTCACCACTCCATACAACCGGGGTTGCCCACTGCTACTCCTAGGAGGCCTGGGTGAGCAGGGATGCGCTTGGCTCTTCACATAGCACTCACCTGGACAAGGTAATCCCTCGGTAAGAGAGGGAGACGGACGTGTTCCATCAGCTTTGCCATGTGCTCTAAACGGGTTTCTTTCTCATAATTGATCCATGAAATCACAGCTTCAAATACCTGTAAGGAAAATCAACATAGGTAACTTTTGCAAAGAGGCAATAACTTTAAACAGCTTTCAAACAACTTCCTCAACCTGAAAAAAGAAAGAAAAGTTACAAGTCATCCACAAAGGTGTTTAGGCTAATTTAAACACCTTTAAATTTAATACTTAAAATAAAACAAAAACACAAAGTCTCTACTATCTGACGTCAGAGAGTGCTCTCTCTCACACACACACACACAGGTACGCTAAGAAAAGCCTGCTACCCCAAACACAGAATCATCAAGGTTCATCACAAAACAAAAATCAATTCCAATTGTTACCTCAGGGTAGAAATACAGAGCAGTAACTCTGAACCAAATTTTACAAAGACTGTCCAAGAGGACCAGAAGCCCTGGGGACAATATCATCATCCCCATCACACACCCCCGTCTCTTCATCTATCTCCCATGTTCATTTAATGCAGAATAAAAACGATAAAGATATCCTCTGCAAAAGCTGGCTGTAATGGTGAATGTGACACTGAATGACAGAAAATGGCAAAAATTTCTCCTTGGGTCAGACCTCTCCTTTGAGGAGAGATTTCATTTCTATACAAATCAAAATGGGGCTTGGAACCAAAAAGGGGAATCTATGGTTTGGATGTTTGCCTTACTCAAGGTTAAGTTCAAATTCAAACTCTGCACCACCATATACACAGAGACACATAAATTTCAATGTTGGTAAGACAGCGGGGAAACCACCACTGTTAATGGAAACTTAACTAATGCGGCTTAAGAAGGGAAGGAAGAATTTGGCAATATCAATCAAAAATTCAAATGTGCATATCTTTGACCTAGAAATATCACTTCTAGAGCTCTAGTCAACAAAACCATTCACAAAAGTGGTGCAAGAATATGTGTTCCAAGAGGTTTGCTGCAGCGTTTTTGTAACAGGATAAAAAAGGAAACAATCCAAAATCCACTAGTGGAGAAATTATTAAACTCGTATCGATACCATGGGATATTTTCAGCTGTTAAAAAACAATAATAACAATAACAACTAGTAATAAGACGAAACACTTTCTTGCGCCAGAAAGCAAGAAAGTGCTCAAAGATTAAGGGGGACACAACGAACAGACACAGAGCGAGCTAGATGGCGCTTTTTCATTGCTGACGTCTGGGACAATTTAAACATCAAAAAGAATAATGGGGCTTCCCTGGTGGCGCAGTGCTTGAGAGTCCGCCTGCCGTTGCAGGAGACGCGGGGTCGTGCCCCGTTTCGGGAGGGTCCCACATGCCGCGGAGCGGCGGGGCCCGTGAGCCATGGCCGCTGAGCCTGCGCGTCCGGAGCCTGTGCTCCGCAAATGGGAGAGGCCACAACAGTGAGAGGCCCGCATAACGCAAAAAAAAAAAAAAAAAAAAAAGAATAATGAAGAAATCAGTTCTGCACTGACTGGGAAGGGGCCAAAGGAAATTTCTTCTGGTAATGGATATGTTCTTTATCTTGATAGGGCAGGAGCTATGTAAGCACATGCATTTGTCAAAATGAATCTAATTTTACACTTAATATCTATACATTTCACTGTGTGTACATCGTACCTCAATTTAAAATACTTTTAGTTAAAAGAAAAGGATAGTAATGAATCATAACCCAAAGAATAAAAAAAGAGTCCATGAGTCCGTAAGGACACTTTAAAAAGTGTGGGAAGGGCTGCTCTTCCCAGAAAAATGTCTTCTAATAAGGTAAAAGGGATGACAGAATAAGAAAAACATTGTTTTGCAACCACCAATGTAATAACTGATTCAGCAAAGATCGTCCATAGATGCTGAAATCATTGGGTGAAAAGTTGTTGTGAAAAAAGATATTCACAGTTCTCAAAGTGTCACCTGACAGATTACTTATTCATTACATGGGGAGAGTGGGGGTGCTTCAAACGGGTATATCTGACAAATACCACCTTTAACAGGTGGTCAAAGTCAGCACCACTAATAAATAGGACAAATTTATATTATTGTGTGAGCCAAAAAGTGCCTTCGGTTTTTAAGTAAAAATAAAAGACACATTTTTCACTTTCACCAACAACTTTATTGAACAACATATTCACCGTTTTGTTCCACTACCTTCTGACATTTTTCAGGCAACTTCATAATTGCATCTTCCCAAAACTTTGTATCCTTTTGAGCAAAGAACTGTTCCAGGTGCCTTTTACAGTCTTCCAGGAAATTGAATTTTTTTCCATTAAGAGAATTTTGTAAAGACCTAAATAAATGGAAATCCAAAGGCGCACTGTCTGGTGAATACGGCTGATGAATCAGAACTTGCCAGCCAAGCTGTAACAGTTTTTGCCTTGTCATCAAAGAAACGTGGTCTTGCGTTATCCTGATGGAAGATCACGCATTTTCTGTTGACTTATTCTGGAGGCTTTTCGTTGAATGCTGCTTTCAGTTGGTCTAATTGGGAGCAGTACTTGTGAGAATTAATTGTTTGGTTTTCCGGAAGGAGCTCATAATAGAGGACTCCCTTCCAACCCCACCATATACACAACATCACCTTCTTTGGATGAAGACCGGCCTTTGGTGTGGTTGGTGGTGGTTCATTTCGCTTGCCCCATGATCGTTTCCATTCCACATTATTGTACAGTATCCACTTTTCATTGCCCATCACAATTTGCTTTAAAAACAGAACATTTTCATTACATTGAAGTGGAGAATCACATGCAGAAATGTGGTCAAGAAGGTTTTTTTCGCTTAATTTATGTGGAACCCAAACATCAAAGCGATGAACACAACCAAGCTCATGCAAATGATTTTCAACACTTGATTTGGGTATTTGAATAAGTCAGCTCTCTCCCACATAATACCACGTTGATTGTTCTCAATTAATGTCTCAATTTGATCGCTATCAACTTCAACTGGTCTACCCAACCGTGGAGCATTGTCCAGGGAGAAATCTCCAGCACAAAACTTCACAAACAACTTTTGACATGCTCGATCAGACAGAGCACCTTCTCCATACACTGCACAAACCTTTTTTTGCATTTCAGTTGGTTTTTACCTTTCTTGAAATAAGAAAGCATAATATGCCGAAAATGTTGCTTTTCTCTTTCCATCTTCAATATTAAAATGGCTACACAAAAATTCACCAATTTTGATGTCTTCTTTTTTTTAATGCATGCAAATATGACAGCTGTCACAATACAATCAAACAAAATTGTTTCAAATGAAGTTAAAGACAACTAAGTGGGACTTCCCTGGTGGTCCAGTGGTAAAGAATCCGCCTTCCAATGCAGGGAATGCGGGTTCGATCCCTGGTCAGGGAACTAAGATTCCACATGCCGCAGGGCAACTAAGCCTGCGTGTCACAACTACTGAGCCTGCGCGCCTCAACTGGAGAGCCTGCGTGCCACAAACTACAGAACCCACATGCTCTGGAGCCCAAACGCTACAACTACAGAGCCCACGCACCTTGAAGCCCTCGTGCCACAACTAAAGAGAGAGAAAAAAAACCCACATGCCACAACTAGAGAGAAGCCCACGTGCCGCAGCAAAGAGCCCACATGCTGCAATGAAAGATCCCGCATGCCTCAACAAACATGCCATGTGCCACAACCAAGACCCGATGCAGCCAAAAATAAATTTTAAAGATAAATAAATAATAAATCTTAAGAAAAACAAAAAACTAAGTGCTACTACAGCCATCTTATGGAAAAAACCGAACGAACCTTTTGACCAACCCAATACATTCCTGAATGTGATTTAATGAGAGGGAAACAGCATCCCCTAGGTAGTATTCTTTCTAAAATGTTTAACCTGAATCTTATAGTGAGGAAACAATCAGACAACTCCATGTGTGGGACACTCTACAACACAGGTGTCCTGGATTCTTCGAAACTGTTAGCATTATGAAAAACACTTAAAAAAAAAAAAAAGGCAGGGAGATAGTTCTAGATTAAGGGGATTTAGAGACATGAGAACTAAACGGGAGGCATGATCCTTGTTTGAATCATGGATTAAAAAGAAACAACCATGGGGGGCTTCCCTGGTGGCGCAGTGGTTGAGAGTCCGCCTGCCGATGCAGGGGATGCGGGTTCGTGCCCCGGTCTGGGAGGATCCCACGGGCCGCGGAGCGGCTGGGCCCGTGAGCCATGGCCGCTGGGCCTGCGCGTCCGGAGCCTGTGCTCCGCAACGGGAGAGGTCACAACAGTGAGAGGCCCGCATACCGCAAAAAAAAAAAAAAAAAGAAACAACCATGAAAGACTTTTTCTGAGACTGTTAGGAAATTTGAATGCTGACTAGATATTTCTTTGGTATGATAATGGTTTATGGCTAGAAAAGGGAATTTCCTTGTTCTTAGGAGGTGCAAGCTAAAGTACTTAGGGGTAAAGTGTCATGATGTCTGCAATTTACTGTCAAATGGTTCAGCAAAATAAAAGATTAAATAGAGAGAGAGAAAGAGAAGGCAAGTGAAGCACAACGTTAACAAATGGTGACTCTAGGTAAAGAGTATATGAATATTCATTCTTTCCAACTTTAGTATACGTTTGGGATTTTTCAAAATAAAAAGTGGAAGGGAGAAGAAAAGAACACAACCAAAGTGGTGTAAATGATTTTCAGTGCTTGATTTGGATATTTTGAGTATGTCAGCTATCTCCAGTGTGGTACAACGTTGATTGTTCTCAATTAATTTCTAGATTTGATCTCAATCCTACAACAAAATTTACAATTTCAAAATTCAAAGTTGAAAGCTATATCTCCCAGGGTGGGTAAAAGACCTCTAATTTTTCTTACCCTAACTATATTTTTGTGTGTATTGATATGTTAATAATGCTTTGGCCCTATTTCCTAAACATATACTTAAGTCAGGCTAAGCATACTCAGATTGAACAAGATATCAGGAAGGAATCCATCAGAAAGGGAAGGGAAGGGAAGAGAGATGAGTGGAATGGAAAAGAAGGGAAGGAGCAGTATGTAAGTATAGTTTGCTACCATTTCTATATAAAATAACCTAGATGTGTATAAACATAGACACACACACA